CATCCGCAACCGCAAACGTTCGAGGGAAGCAGCTTTTGGATTTAAGAGATTTGGAGCGACATAGAACAGTATAAAACATTTTCCATGATTGTTGTCAAACACCAACAACCGCTACCGCCCGCAAACACAGCGTTTACGGGTGGTAGCGGATGAACCAATCAACCCCATAGTTACATAAGTTATACTGTTTAGGTACGTATTGTTGACCCACATCCATGGACCCCACACTCTTTCTTCTTTTTAGAAAAGTCCATTCAGCACATTACACGTGGCACCTTCAAGTGGATCGTTAACGGAAAGTCTTTACCGGCGATGACTGTGTATAATAAAAGCCCCGCCGGTTAATCGTCATTGTGTCGACGGTGGCTAAGTAGTAACGAATCGAATCTCCGGTGAGAATTCTCTGAGACTACTTGAGCTCGAGTTTGGTGCCATAACCGACGTTACTTTTGATGAACCGGTCAAACTCGAAACTCGAGATTACGCCGCTGCTCTGAGCAACTTGAAAACTCGGCGTAAACATCGCTGCTTGTTGCACGCGGCGAGAAAAGACGATAACGATCTTTCAGCAACGGTGGAGGATTGGTTCATCGGAATCATTAGATAAGCTCCACCTGCCGAAATCACGGCGTTTGTTGGAATAGCCCACACCGGAACCATCCCATGCGGTAGAGCTGGAGCCGATAAGCCGGAAGAATTTGAAACGGCGCCGTTTAAGTCCATGTACTCACTCTTACAGTGGCGGAACCAGAATACTTTTTAACCGGGGTCAAAAAATTAAAAATGTATCTTACGAATAGTAGAAAAAAATTCAAAAAATGTATATAACATTCATTCATAGGTTAAAATTTTTAATTCACATACATGTTTCATTTATTACCTTTTCAAATTAAAAAATAATTAATATCTTAGATTTTTGTTTTGTTTAGCGATTCAAAAATATGTATATAACATAAAATAATATAAATTTTCTTTGTAGAATTTTAAATTAGATGAATTTTTTTAACTAAACCTATGTAAATTATGAAAACTTACATTAAAATTGAGTTTAAAATTAAATATCAACCCAGTTTTTAGTATATGGAGCTTGTTTATCTTATGTATTTAGATTGATTTTATATTGGGATTGGGTTATGGGGGTCAAAAATTAAATTTGAACAGGGTCATTATCATAAAATTGAAAATATATAATGGTTTTTTTGAAATTAGTAGGGGTCACATGACCCACCTTCCATGTAAGTGCCTCCGCCCCTGCACTGTTACAAGGTTCTTTTCGTTTCTTCTTCGTTAAATTCTCAACCGTTTCAAACTTCGCGTTTGCGGTTGGGATTTTAAGTGATCCGTTAACCAACATAGTAATAGATTTGAATATGTGTTTGTTGGTTTACTTTTGGTTTAATGTTGATTTCATTCTGGTTTACATTAATTATGGTTTGTTGTTTCGACCAGAACATTATAAATGATGTAATCGGATAATTAAGAATTAATAACAAAAAGTTCATTTCTTCTCTAAGCATCTTCTTCTCCACCAAGAAGCTAACATGGTATCAGAGCTCTTGAGGCTCAAACCTCAGGCGATCTTTCTTCTTCTGTTTGTTTGATCTCGATTGATCGGTGCTTTTCACGATCGATCTTCTTTCCTTTTCTTCGTGAGCGTTTTCTATGGTTATTCCACCAGATCTCGCTTTAATCACGATTTTCTTCTTCTTTGAGCTTTGGATCTGTCCCGATGGTGGTCTTACGCAGGTCTACTCGTCGCTCAACTAAATCGGTAACTTCCTCGGCTCGACGAGCTTCTATTCCTGAAGACTCGTCCCCTTCACATTCCGATTTACCAATCGTGCTTTCGGAGTCTGTT